TATATATATATATATATATATATATATATATATATATATATATATATATATAGCCCCCACGACGGCCAAAGAGGGCCCCGAGACACCCAAAGGTCGGCCCAAGACGCCCAATCTGGGCCCAAGACTGCCCAAGACGCGTCCAAGACGCCCCCAGAGCCCCCCAAACAGGCCTCCCAAGAGGGCCCCGAGAGGCTACAATTGTTGATTTCCCGGTGTGTTTTTCGATGTGTTTGGCCTTCTCGCTAACCCCGCTTCCCGACGCTCCACAATGGCCCAAAAGGCTCCATAGATCGCCCCAACACTGCCCACAAGGCCCCCAAGAAGGCCCCGACACGGTCCAGGAGGGTTCCGAGACCGCCCAAGAGGCGCCCAAGACGGCCCACGAGAGCACCAATACGGCCCCAAGAGAGACCCAAGAGGGCGCCCAAAAATTCAAAGAACTATATTTTCCGCCGCGAGAGGGCCCCAAGAGGCCCGGAGAGAGCCCCAAGAGGCCCCCAAGAGGCCCCGAGGAGCCCCCAAGAGGCCCCCAAGAGGCCTCCAAAAAGATCCCAATGACCCCAAAACGCCCCCCAGAGGCTTCAAAACTGCCTCCCAGAGGGCCCCGAGAGGCGCACCGCGAGATCCCAACACAGCGGTCTCCCCCTCTCATTATCCCTTCTCTTTGTCGTCGCCTTCTTCGTCGTCGTCGTTGTCGTGTCACATGGCGCAGCGAGGCCATTTTTCGTTCAAACCACCGAAGAGCCCAAGAGTTCCTCCTCCTCTTCTTCATTCTCTTCCTCCTCTACTTCCTCCTCCTCCTCCTTCTCCTAATTCCCCGTGGTGTTTCACGTTCCGCCCCGCCAAAGGTCTAGCAGCAGCAGCTCCCCTCACTCTCCCAAGTCTCTGTTGCGGATTTCTTCCGCGACACCTCGGCTGCGGATTTCATTCAGTATTTGCGACTCGCCGGAAGCGTTTTGGGGGCGCCGGAAACGTCGCGAACGGCCCCCAGTGGCCCGAGTCATGGCCCGAAAAACCACGCGGGGGCATCAAGGGAGGAGAAGGAGGGGGGAGGGAGGAGGAGGATGAGGGGGAAAAGGGGGGCGAGGGCGATGGGGAGGGGGACATGGGGGAGGGAACGAAGACGAGGGGAGGGGAGGGGGATACGGGGGATTGAGCACCTGGACGCGGTGCCCTTGCCTACCTTACCGGAGAGGGCCGGCCGAATCCGAGGGGCCCCTGGGGGGTTTCAAAACCTGCACCGCCTCTTGCACTACCTTCGGGCCCCCTTGGCGGCTTGGGAAAAACCGTTCCTAATTCGGGGGGTTCTCTCACCCTTTGCAGCTTGACTCGCAGAGAGGCCAAGCGGCACCGCGCCGCGCCGCCAGGGATGGGGAGAATGGACAACAAAAAGAAGCGGAGAGGGAGGAGAGGAAGAGGAGGAGGAACAGGAGGAGGAGGAGGGGGGGAGGAGGAGGAGGAGGAGGAGGAGGAGGAAAAGAAAAGGGGAAAGAGGAAGAAGAGCTAACGGAAAGTAGTCTAATCCGCTTCGCCAGAGATATGCTCGCAACTCCGACCTCACAAGCGCCTTGCTTCGCATCGGTCCCGCCGTTTTCGCTTGAGACTTCATCGCAGCTCTGGGGCCCGAGACACTCTCAGTTGAGGTGTTCCAGTCACTGTCGCCTGAGACTCTCTCGCAAGTCTCACTTCGGAGGTGCCTTGCACCATGGTGGTTCGGCCACTTTCGCGTGCGAATTCCAAAGGGCCAAAGTGCATGGCGCGCAGCGCCAATGCGGACTTGTATGTATATATATATATATACATATATGTGTGTGTACACACCTACCTACCTACCTACCTACCTACCTACATACATAGATACATACAAACATGAATACATACATACATAAATACATACATACATACATGCATACATACATACATACATACAGACAGACAGACAGACAGACAGACAGACAGACAGACATATATACATTTGTACATACACATATATATATATATATATATATATATATATGTATAGAAACATACGTAAAACATGTAGGATTGTGTACACAGGAGAAGGACAATCTATAGAAACATACGTACGTCGTCCAAGGCGCCTCGGAAGGCGCAGAATACTCCCCCAAGGCGCGGAATCATGTTCCCGGACCGCCTTCCGGGAACATGATGGGGACGACCTCCTGAGGGCCTCCAGTGGGCCTCTTGGGGGCCTCTCGGAGGCCTGTTGGGCTCTCCGGGAGGCGTCTTGGGGCGCGCTCAGGGCCATTTTTGGGCATCTTGGGGGCCTCTTGGAGGCTTCCGGGGAGGCTCTTGGGGGCCTCTTTGGGGCCTCTTGGGGCCTCGCGGGGCCCTCTTGGGGCCCGCTGGGCTCGCTTAGGCACTCTTGAAGCCATGTCGGGGCTCTCCTGGAACCGTCTTGGGCGGCTCCTTGGCCATCTTGGGGCTCTCCTGGGCCGTCTTGGGACGCTTTTGGGGGTCTCTTGGGCCGTCTTGGGGCGGTCTTGGGGGCCTCTTCGGCCGCTTGGAGCGGTTTTGGGAGACTGTTGGACGGTCTTGGAGCGTCGGAACCGCGAAAAAGCGAGAAGGCCAAAAACCTATAAAAAAAACAAATCAATGATTTTGGCTTGATGGCGCTCTCTTGGGAGGCCTCTTGGGATGCCTTCGGGGCCTCATCGAGCTCACTTGGAACGTCTTCGGGCCTTCCTGGCCATTCCTGAGGCTATCTATGCGCGTGTTGGAGCGCTCGCGGGCCGTCTTGGGCGGTCTCGAACTGTTCCTGGCGGTCCCAGGGGCCCTCCGGGACGCTTCGGACGCTCCCGGGGGCGCCCTGCACCCCTCATGGAGATTACAGGCAGCGCCCCGGGCCGCCCCTGGGCCCTACTCCGATATATCTATATATCTATATATCTATATATATATATATATGTATACACAAACCGTTCTATGACAGCCTCCCGCCAACAAAATAACTATTGTCAACATTGCCACCCATGTGTCGGAACGCGTTTAAACCACTGCGGCCGTGCAAAGCCATTCCGCGCCGTGGCGGCGCACGCAGCCGTGGCGCTGTTCGGAAGGCTATCCGGAGCGCGCTGGGGCGCGACGTGTCCCAGTGGTGCCCCCAAACCTGTGCCTCCTCCTCCTCCTCCTCCTCCTCCTCCCCCCTCCTCCCCCTCCTCCTCCTCCTCCTCCCATTCCTCCTTCTCCTCCTCCTCCTCTTCCTCCTCCTCCCATTCCTCCTTCTCCTCCTCCTCCTCCTCCTCCCCCTCCTCCTCCTCCTCCTCCTCCTCCTCCTCCTCCTCCTTCTCCTCCTCGAACGGCGCGAGGCGGACGGGTCGGACGCCCTCGCTGCACGGGGGCCTTTTGTTTTCCAATGGGATAGCCCCAAGAAGCATTTAAGAACCCCCCCGGCGATATCGCAGCACCGCATTTTTTATTCGATATTCCGAGGGGCCGAAATAACCGAACGATAGCTTTAGCACCCGGACACCAGGAGGGCTCCTGGTGCCAGGTAACGCTTCCAGGGTGCGGAAGGGTTATCGATTTGCCGGAGGGGGGGGGGGTTCTTAAATGCTTACTGGGGTTACACAGCTTCGGGCACTGCCTGGGGCACTACTTTGGAGCACAGTGCGTCGCGCACTTTGAGCAGGCAAACGTGAACTCAACAAGTTTGCGATCTTCCCGAACGAGCCATAAACATTTCCGTCGCCGCATAACGTCCTCGTCTCTCCGTCTCTCCCTTCAGGTAGTCATCACCGCACAACTTAGAACACCACTGCTTGGACAAAATGTGATGACATGCTCGGGGGGACGTCGCTGAAGTGGGTGCTGCCGTGAAGCGAGCTGAACTGTGTATAATGTGCATATATATATAACACCATAAACATTGTTATGTATACTCATTTTTGTATAAGGATTTCTCTTCAGCTATCTCTTCCCAGATCCTCTCCAATAGTTCCTCATCTCCTATCCCCTCCTCTCCTCTCATCTCCGCTCCTCCTCCTCCTCCTCCTCCTCCTCCTCCTCCTCCTCCTCCTCTCTCTCTCTCTCGCGTTCGCTCTTTCTCTCTTTCTCACAATCATGTTGCAGACCTCCCCCCTTAACTATCTGACCTCTCTTTCCTCCTAGAGGCGGAGCATCATTCGCACAAGTATGCCACCGTGCCTTGAGCACGTAGCGGTCTGCCCCAAGGCCTCCTTCTCTGGCTGCGGTGCTCACTCCACCTCGCTATCCTCCCCTGGAGATATCCTGAGGTCCGTGCAGGTCCCCGCAGATCCCAATGATGTCCAAACACGTACAAAAACATAGATTATGCTTTTCGTTATCCTGCTCGACCTCCTCCTACTCGATCTCCTCATTATCCTTCTCCTCTTCTTCCTACTTGTCCGTGTCCTTCTTCCGGTCCTCTCTGCTTCTTCCTCCTCCTCCTCCTCCACGCTCCTCTCCTCGTCCTCCTCAGTCGTCCTTCTCCTTGCTCCTCCGTCCTCCTCCTCCTCCACCTTCTCCTCCTCCATCCTACCGCTCCTCCCCCATCCTCCTCCTTCGTCCTCCTTTTTCTCCTGCTCCTCGTCCTCTGTCCTCCTCCTTCTCCTCCTGCATCCCCTCCGTCTCCATCCTCTTTCTCCTCATCCTTCTCCTCCTCCTCCTCCTCCTCCTCCTCCTCCTCCGCCTTCTCCGTCCTCCTCCTTCTCCTCCACCTCCACTTCTTCCGCCTCCCCCTCCATCTCCTCCTCCTCGTCCGTTCTTCCGTTCTTCTCCTGCGCCCCCCCTCCTCCCCCGCCTCCTCCTCCCTCTCGTGCCCCACGCGGCTCCCCGAACTGGAGGCCACACCCTGACCTCCCCGAAATGCTTGACCGTCCAAACGTGGGCCATCCGTCGGCGCGCGGCGTGCGCGCACCGCCTGCGGGCCAGTGCCTGACCGCCCACGTGCGCGCGTGCGCGCGCGTCAGCTCCCCGTGGGCGCGTGCGAAGCTGCCCTCCTCGCCCTCGCCGCACGCCTTGAGCTTCTCGACGTACTCGGAGGCTTCCCGGAGCTTCTGCAGCCCGACGTTGACGCTGCGTTCCTGCTGGTTGACCTCGTCGTACTTCGACGCGTAGAGCACCTCTTGCTGGACGAGCGGCGAGGGAAGGAGCGGTGGACTGATTCGTGGGCCCCGGAAACGACGACGAGGCCGTTTCTTTACCAATTCCGTTTTGCCGTTTTTGTTGCCCGTCGCCGTTTCTGTTGCCGGCTCCGTCGCCGTTTTTGTTCTCTGGTTCCGGCTCCGGTTCCGATCCCAGATCCGGTTGTTTGCCCTTTCTGGTCGCCGTTTTTAGACCGCTTCCATTATCACGATGCACTTTCTCGGAAACGGTGAAAGAACGGCCCTGCCGCTTCCCCGGCCCACGAAAGCGGAGGCGGAGGAGGGTGTCGCTCAAGAGCCTAACTCTTGCCGAACCCTGTGAACTGTTGAGCCGCGGTTGAGCACTGCGGTGCAATGAGCCGAGGACTGCGACCATGAGGTGGCCATGAGGCTGGCCACTGGCCACCTAACAACGACAGAAACGGCAATGACCATGATCCGGCCACGGTCAGGCAGTGCGAGTGGACTAAGCCAAACAATGAAAACCAACATACATATCATTGTAACACCGTGGTTGAAAGAAATCGCGACTCTGCAGGCTTCCTAAGCATATTACATCGCGTTCGAATGAGACTGCAAATTCCGTGCCGGCGGTGGAATACATCCGGGGCGGTAAAAATCCCGAATGATTCAACCAGGGTCTAAAACAATAGCCTGATCGACAGAAGCTTGATCGCAATTGAATGATCATTGCACGCGGTCCCTGCAAAAACGAAAATCAAGGGAATGGTTAAACCGCGGCTGGTATATCTCGACCACTGATTACTCAGCCACAAGTGTTTCCTCCCGGTTGTTGAACCAACGGTCGTCAAGATTGTCGAGTTCATCTTGGGGCTGAAGGCAGGCGGGGCACTGATTTAAGCAGGAGGGGAGGCGGAGGAGCGCAAGAGGAGGGTAAGGAGGACTTCACGCAAGTCAGGACACTCTTGCACACCTTTTCGGTCCAGCGCTGTTTGGAAAGGCGGCCGAGGGGGTGGAACTGCCATGCAAGTAAACTTGCCAGAACCCCAGAAGTAAAAAAACACGCTCCTAACCTCCGACGATATGACTTTTGCGAGCTGGTAGATGTTTCTCGACTTCGGCCGTCAGCGGCCATTTTCGGGTCCATGGGCCATGAACAGCGGATCCAGGGCGAAGCACTACACCAAGGGAAGCGGTCGGGACCTCTGGGGCCGTGGTTGTCACGCTTACGTGACCTCACGCACCACTCACGCTCAAACTCAGTCTTGCACAGAGCCCGCTTCACCCTTGCGATGCAGCAGGCGCTGTCCAGGCACCTCCCACATGGGGGAGCCGCCCGGCCCGTGCACACACCCACCGCAGGCAGGGGCACTGTGGCCCCCCGCGGCGGCGCCGCCAGAGGGGATTTGTGGCGCTGGCCCGTTCGCGCCCAGATTGTGGGGACGTCCCGGGTAGAATGGCACGTGTGTGGGTGTGGGTGCCCCCTCTCGCCGCCCGACAATGGGTCTGTCGATCGTCCCCCGACAACTCGACGGCCCGTGCGGACTGCGAGTGCCGTGCCGCGCCGAAGAAAGTGCTTGGGTGCGGGTGGGTGGGCGGTATAGGTGTCCTCTCACGCCCAGCTGGTCATGGCGATGCAGCAGACATGGCTCTTGGGCACCCCACTGGGGGGACCGCCAGGGGGGACGACACCGGCCCGCCCACGCCCAGTTTACTGGAGCCTCTCACATAGAATGGGGAGGGCGCGGCGCGTCCGTTTCCAAAGCCACATGAGCATCGCGATGCAGCAGGCAAGGCACTTGGGCATCACGCGGGAGAGCCGCCAGAGGCTATGACAGTGGCACGCTCGCGCCTGAACTGTGGGGTCGCCTCAGCTCGAATCGCCGCTCTGCGTGTGTGGGGGGGGGGGGGGGGCAGACGTGCCCTTACTGGGCCCCGGAAACGGCAGGGCCGTTTTTTCACCGTTTCCGAAAAAGTGCCCCTTGAAAATGGAAACGGCAAAAAAAGGCGACTGGAAACAGCAACAACAACGGCTCCAGGAGTGGAACCGGAGTGGGAACCCGTAAAAGAGCGGCGACGGAACCAGTAAAAAAACGGCGTCGGAAACTGCAAAAAAAACGGCAAAACGGAATCGGTAAAAAAACGGCCCTGTCGTTTCCGAGGCCCATTAAGGACGTGCCTCTGCAGAGCCACACAGTCACCGCTACAGTCGGGGATGGACAGACCCCCCTTTAGTAAAACGTAGTTCAACGACAACGACCTGAGGCCCAAATCTGGCGGGCGCAAGCCTGGAAAATAGCGGCCACGGCGCCCTCTCGAGGACCGAAAACGGACAATGCACGAATCGACGTGTCACTGCCGGGGGTCTCTGTCCGCCCCCGATATAGCCGGCCGCCGCCAGGGGCCCTGACGCTGGGCCGCCCGCGCCCAGATAGACCGGGACGTCACGCCTGGTCGGTCGGCAGCTCGGTCGGCCCAGCAGGCGGGTCTCTCTTCACGGCCCCCACGGCCACCGCGAAGAAGAAGAAGTAGAAGAAGAAGAGGGTCGCCAGGGGAGACCCGCTCATGCCTAGACGCACTGGCAAGCAGGCCCACTCGTACCCAGCCACTCGCACTCTCTCATAATCAGGGCCTCTGGAAGCCTTCGAGGGCCTCCGGTGACCTCCTCTGTTCCTCCCGCTTCTCCTGCTGCTGCCTTTGCTTCCGTTTGGCTCCTCGGCTGCGGTCAGCAGCCTTCTGCTCAGCGTGTCGCGGCGGCGGCCCCGGCGACACGCTCTCCCCTGCAACCTGCTGGCGTGTCCCTGCGCTCCGCGGGGCGGGAGGCTGGGGAAAGTTCGGAGCGTTGATGCCCGGGGGGGCCAGGCCATGGAGAATCAGCGCGTCGCGCCGAGGCGTGGTGGGCCAGAGCTGGCGGGACGTAGACCGCGGAGCCTAAGGTCGTGACGGTAAAGCTCCCGCGTAACACGAGAGCAGCAACAAGACGCGTCAGGGGCGTAGGAGCCGACAACACCGAGAAGTTTCGGCACCTCACCCGCCACCAAGCAGAAAAATCAGCGAATGGCCGATCGACTGAAGCTCAGATGCCCTCCACCTCCATCCTCCTCCATCCTCCTCAATCCTGCATCCTCTTCCTCGCCCTCCCCAGCCTGCACCCTTTTCCCCCTCCCATCCTCTCCTCTTCTCCTCCCTCCTCCCGCTTCCTCCCGCTTCCTCACAACTCCGCCTCCTCCTCCTCCTCCCTTTTTCCTCCTCCTCCTCCTCCTCCTCCTCCTCCTCCTCCTCCTCCTCCTTCTCTCTCTGCTCGCCCACCCTGCCGCGTCGGAGTCGGCTCCCCCCGCCCCCCCCGACGCGCCTTGTAGAAGTCGATGAGGCATAGGAAGCTTTTGGGAGTGACGTATACGTGCTTGCGCATCCTGCAGGGCGGGTGGGGGGAAGGGAAATTGGAGGGCGTAATAACAAAAAACCATGACCACTACTGAAAACGGAAACGTCGGAGTCGGTCTTGGTCACCGTTCATCTTGGTCATGGACAATTAGTGGACCATCCTCGCGAAAGGGAGATGGCAAGCATGGACCATGACCAAGATCGGCGTTGACAAGATCCAGCGCCATCTTGATCATGGTCAGAGAGTGTTCTTCCCTCGGTGCAATATGGACCTCGCGTAGTTAATTGCAAGTCCAATTGCGGGAGGTCCGCGTTGACCGCTCCTGAAAACGACGAGGTCAATGCCCTCCTCCAGCTAAGGCTGCCACAAGGAACACAGCATAAGGAACGAAACGGCAGCTCTGGCCACGGCGAGCCTCGGCCACGAACAAATCCTCCGACAGAAAGCTGGGGAACGGCCCGAAAACCCGGGCCCCCTCCCGAACCCAAAGAGGTCTTTGTGTCAGCATCTGGTCTGCTGTCGGACTGTCGTAGTTCCAGCACCAAGAGACAGCAAGGAGCATGGGGGAAGCGGGTCCCGAGGGAACCGGGTCCTGGACCCCGCCGCCGTTTCTGCCGTTTCTCGCTGAGCCAGCGTCTGTGCAGCCGGCCCAAGGCGCGGATCGCAAGCAGCGACCCCCAGAGGTCGTGCCCACGCTCGAACGACGGCCCAGGGCCCCCGACCCCGAGGAAGGGAGAGGGGAACGAGGACCTCAATCGTAAAACCTGGACCCCGGGGGCCTTCCCCCCAAACGAATTGCGAATAAGGGGGGGGACGTGCGGGGGAAAAAAAAAGAGGATGCAGCCAGTTCGGAGGAAGTTGCACGGGGATCCCCAAGGAGTTTTTTCGTGTGGCTTGTGGGGCTCTCGCCAGATTTCGGAGGCTCCCACTTGCCATCGCTCGGACGTCCATTCCGTGCAGTTTTCTGTGTCGTGCGTGTTTTTTTTGCCCGATGATCCAGGATGCTCCTCGATGGTCCTCGCCGATTAACACACACACAGACAGACAGACACACACCGCACACACACACACAACACACAACACACAACACACAACACACAACACACGACACACAACACACGACACACGACACACAACACACAACACACAACACACACACACGTTCACACACACGTTCACACACACACACACACACGTCCGAGCGATGCCAAGTCCAGAGGCGGGGCCCCATCCTCCTCTTCCTCCTTCTCCTCCTCCTCCCCGTACCCTCCTCCCCCCTCCTTGCCATCCCCGCCTCTCCTCTTCTCATCCCACCCTTCCTTTCCTTATAGATAACTCTTCCCTGTCGCACCCCGAGCCTGGTCGAAAGGGCGGCCACGCGTTTCGCCTGAGCCCTCCTCACCATTTATGACCCTGCAGCTTACGTAAACGTTGGCAACTGTCTGTGCAACAACTTCACGGATTGAGGGCGGGTCGTTTTCAAACTGTGGCTCTCGCCTCAGCGCCGCGCACATTCTTCTTAAACATTTGCAAGGAGTTTCACAGCTGGAAGGCGGGTGGCTTTCAAACTGTGGCCGTAGCCTTTGCGCCGCGCGCATTCGTCTTCAAGTTGTGCAAGAGCTTCGCAGATGGAGGGCGGTTTGTTTTCAGTGTGGCTCTCGCCTTAGCGCCGCGCGCATCTGTTTTAAAACACTGCAAGAGTTCCACGGACTCCCATGGACAACGTACCAGCAATGGTGTGTTGGAAGGACTCAGGGTTGTGAGGGTGAAACAATTACGTTGGTTCGAGGTGTTGAAATCCCAGAAATGGCATCCTGTCACGAGTAAAGATCGTCACAACGCAACGGTGTTGTGGCACGCCTCAGGGTCCTCGAATGGTTGTCTCCCAAAGGAACTTTGGGGCCTATGAAGAGGGAGCTTGGAGGGAGGGTGTATGCCAACACCGTTGATGAGTCTTGGGTTTACACTGGTCCCTCTTCCTCCTCCTCCTCCTCATCATCATCACAATCACCATCACAATAGTCATTACCATCATCATCATCATCATCATCATCATCATCATCATCATCATCATCATCATCATCATCATCATCATCATCATCAGCATCAGCATCAACATCATGTTCATCATCATCATCGTCATCATCGTCATTAGCAGCATCATCATCATCAGCATCAACATCAGCATCATCATCATCATCATCATCATCATCATCATGTTCATCATCATCACCATCGTCATCACCAGCATCATCATCATCATCATCATCATCATCATCGTCATCATCACCCCTCCTCCTCCTTTTCGCAAGTTCGGCAAACTTCATGTACCATGCTTGTAGCCTTCCCCTCTTCCTCCTCATCCTCCCCCTCCTCGTCCTGTTCCCACCTTCTCGTCCCTGCCTCCCTCCTTCTGCTGCGGCTCTCCTTCCTGCTCTCCCCCGCCGCGCGCGCGGGAGCGCGCTCGCGCGAAAGGAGGGGGAGGAAGAGGACGGGGAGGTTGGCGGGCGTGTGGAGGATCGACTCCGTCCTCCCGTCCGGCAGACGCGCCAACGCCGGGCCAAAATCGTACCCCGAGCTGCGCTGTGCGAGAGACCGAGACCTCGTGCTGGCCCACACGTCCTGCCCGTGTTACGACCCTGACTCTACCCAGGGAGACTCCAGAGCCAGAGTTACGCTGCTCCCATCGTACTTGAGGACCACATCCCAGACATAATCTCGAGCACGCAGAAGAGTATCGAAAGGGTGTCTGCCCGACATGCCGGCGAAGTGTCGAAGGAGCATCGCCTCCCAGGGCGCGACACGCGAACACCCTCCACGTGCGGTGCTCTCCTGGCGCTCGAAACTCTCTCTGGTGACAGAGGCTCAAATAGGTTGGGACCAGCACAAGCACAAACGTTCGGAGGAGGATGAGGACGAGGAGGAGGAGGAGGAGGAGGAGGGGGAGGAGGGGGAGGAGGAGGAGGAGGAGGAGGAGGAGGAGGGGTGGAACGGCGGCGGACACGGGCCCGCTCGATCGCACGCGACCTCGAGCGCCCGCGCCCAGAAAGCGAAGGCCCGCCCTGGCATCAACGAGCCAGAGGAGGGGAGAGAGAGACCAGCACAAGCACAAACGTTCGGAGGCCCGCGCGGATGTTTTTGGGGGGTCGGCGCCGGGCCCCCCCTCCCTGGCGCGCGGAGCGCGCCAGGGCCGCCAGGGGGGCCCAGCGCCGATCCCAAGAGATCCGAACGAAGCTCCGACAGTTTATGTTTGTGGAATGCTTCTTCTTCGACCAAGGGAAACCAAAAGGTACCGATATTGGTACTCCCCGGACCTCTCCTGGGGTGTGTGTTGTAACCAGGATTTCGAGGCGAATCTAGCGGCGGCGACGAGGGCCTCCCAGGAGGCCCAGAACGGCGAAGACGAGCGAAGGTCAGCGGTGTGGGTACCTTGTCCTCCTCAGTCGGCGGTGTATGCTCAAAGTTTGAGTTATGGGCGTCCCTGGCATACTGGGGAAACAGTTACATGGAATCGGCGATACATCGCCGATAGATCGGCGATAGGCCCCCGAAGGCAAATCCCCGCGTTCCTGGGCGGGGTGGGGCTATCGGGCCCCTATGGGCGATCAATGGGCGGTCGGGGATCGATGCATCCCCCCTATGCCGATCCCTCCTATCGTTGCCCCTGATGGACGAACTGGTCGCGAACAGAACTTGGCATCCAGTTGCACATTCTGGTCACGAGTTCACCGCCGACGGCCTCGACCTCGAAACCCTCGCTTGAGCCCCGACGCGCCGTCTCATTCGCTACCGAAATTCGACCCCCTCGGGGCGCGCCCGAAATCCATGACCGAACATTTTTGGTTCCGGACACGAGGGTCCTTCGTAAGGGGGTCGCCAAACACTTGCAGTAAGTAGCTCATCCTTGGGCTCATGGCGCGTGGCCCCTCTCCCAGACCAGCGATGCCAAACGCAACACATTCTGCTGGCACCCGACACGATGCAGCACGAACGACTGCACGAAATCTTCGCCCTGATCCGATCATCCAGTCGCGGATGATCCGGGCCGGTGCCTCCAGAAGCCCTACAGGGGGGGCGGCGCAGACTTCGCACGCCGCCGATGCGAGCTGCAAGCAGACAGCGCGCTCTGACTCGCCCCCGACCGCGGGCTTCGCGCCTTCCCTTGCTGTACTCGGAGGCCTCTCAGATGGGATCCGAGCAGACACAGCGGAGGCCCGACCCCAAGAAACCTTCCACAAGAAGCCCAGCCATGAGATCCCAGGGCGTCCAGCGCTTTCTGGTGTGGGCACGCCGCGCCCTCCATGGCAGAACCGTCGAAACCCAAGAACCCCAGGGCACCCTGGAGGCCAGCAGGGTGTTTCTTGGCATGGGCCCCCACTGCACTCGGAGGCCTCTCAGAGGGTATCCGAGCAGCCAGGGCCCGAGGCTCGCGCCGCACCTAGGGGAACAAACAGTGACATAAACATAACAACTCGGAGGTCCGCGCGGATTTCTCGGATCGGCGCTGGACCCCTGGCGCGCTCCGCGCGCCAGGGAGGGGGGTCCAGCGCCGATCCGAGAAATCCGCGCGGACCCCCGAGTTTTTATGTTTATGCTGCTTTTTGTTCCCCTAAGCGTGTTTCTTGGCATGGGCCCCCACTGCACTCGGAGGCCTCTCAGATCGGGGATGGACAGACCCCCCTTTAGTAAAACGTGGTTTAGTGAAAACGACCTGAGGCCCAAACCTGGTGGGCGCAAGCCTGGAAAATAACGACCACGGCGCCCTCTCGAGAACCGAAAACGGACAATTCACTAATCGACGTGTCACTGTTGGGGGTTCTGTCCACCCCCGATCAGAGGGGATCCGAGCAGCCGAGGCCCGGAGGCTCGCGCCGCACCGCGCAGTGCACCGGGTCGGGCGCCCGCGCCGCGCAGAGCGGCCGGGCGCTCTCCCTCGCCCTGCTCTCGGGCGCCTCGGGGAGAGCCCGGGGCTCTGGGCGCCGCCGGCGGCGAGGAGGCCGCCCACAAAACTTTTGTGGGCGGCTCCGACCCTTTTAAAGGCCCGGGCCTTTTAAAGGCTCCGACCCCGCCTGCCCGGGCCTTTTAAAGGCCCGGGCAGGCGGGGTCGGAGCCTCGTGCCGCATTGCGCATGCAACGCCGATGTATCGCCGATGCATCGCCGATGCATCGGCGATGCATCGGCGCCGTCAGCGTAGAGGAACTCCGGCTCCACATGTACAGAAGAATAATAGGAAGAAGAAGAAGAAGAAGCAAAAACGCCATGAGCATTAACTTGTGGCGCTCCACGCGGACTTCTTGGATCTGCGCTGGATCCCCCTACCTGGTGCGCGGAGCGCAGAGGCGGCGCCGGAGGCGCCGCCGGGGAGGGCCCAGCGCGGATCCAAGAAATTCGCGCGGAGCGCCAACAGTTGATGTTTATGGGTCGTCGTCCTTTTCTTCTTCTTCGAATATGGCCGCATCGTCGAGGCATTGTCGATGCGGAGAGAACCTTCGACCCCATCTGCTCGGAACCCTTTTGAGAGGCATTAGCTCCACCCGTGCAGGAACTGGAGCGCAAGGGCCCCACACTTGAGCAGGGACCGACCGTCCCAGCATTCCTATCGGCCTGCCGCCAAAAGCACGTCTTAGAACGATAGAACGTTCAAACAACAAAGAACACAATCCTGATCAAATCAAACCGAACGTTCTCAGCCAGAATGGCTCTAAAAACACTTGTTCAAAACCACAGCAGGGTGCTTGGAGCATCATCTGGTGGGCTGTCGGGGGCACGAACACTTCGCCACTGCTCGACACGCAAGGGCGGCGGAGGAACGAGACGAGGGCGGGAGCGGCCGTCCTGGAGTAGTACGTGTCGCACATGCCGCGGACCTGCGCCTGGAACGCGCCCGTGAGCTGGTACAGCAGCCTGGCGCGCGCAGGAGACCCCAGAATCGAATCGCTACAGCGGATCGGCGATCGAGATGAATCGGATCGTCAGAAATCGGCAGCCGCGTCGGGAGCAGTCGAATCGGCGGAAAAATCGGCAGGCCAGCAGGCCTCCGTCGGGACACCGGAGCCCAGATCGGAAGCCGAACTCGAATCGGATCGGAATCGGAAGCCATCGAAATCGAATCGAATCGGATCGAATCGGATCGAAATCGAATCGAGCCCCGACCGCTCCAGAGCCGCAAACGAAGGCGAGCCCCACGAGCGGCGAGCGCAGCCGTGCACGCGCCTGGGTCGGGCTGCCCGGCGCCTTTTGCCGCCTCGGGCCCGCCGCTGGGCAGGAGCCCGCGCGGGCCCGAGGCTGCAGTCAAAAGCCCCCTTCAGCCTGATCGTCCTTCCCCCTCCTCCTCCTCCTCCTCCTCCTTCTCCTCCTCCTCCTTCTTCTCATCCTCCTCCTCCTCCTCCTCCTCCTTCTTCTTCTCCTCCTCGTCCTTCTCCTCCTCCTCCGCTCGCTCCACCTCCTCCTCCTCCTCCTCTTCTCCTCCTCCTCCTCCTCCTCCTCTTATTCCTATTCCTTCCTCCTCTCCTCCTCCTCCTTCTCCTCCTCCTCCTCCTCCTCCTCCTCCTCCTCCTCCCCCTCCTCCTCCTCATGAGCGGCAATCGTATCCATGTCCACGCCCTCGCGGTCTGGACGCCAGGGCGCGGCCCCGCGGAAACGCGGTCGCACGGAGTTGCGTTCCGCGCGGGGCACCCGCGAAAACGACGCCCCGCATCCGAGGGGCCGCGGCCCAGCGGTCCGGCCCCCGAGGCTGCGGATGCGGGTGTGCGCTTCGCCCACGAGCCCGGCGCGCCACGCTCCCGAGCCCCAGCGAAGGTGCGCCGCAACATCCCAGGCATGAAGTGCCATGTTTCTTCACTGCGGTCCCACTCGTCCCATAAGACGAGAAGCCGGGACGAGGATGACATCGGGTGAAGAGAAATCGGGAATCTCTGAGATCTGGTGGCTCTGGAGGATGTATCGGGCACCGCGGCCTTCTCCGAACGTTCCGGAAAGCCTTCAGAGCGTTCGGGAACGCTCTGGAACAACATTTATCCTCGTCCTAGCCCCGTCCGATCCCCATCTGCCTCCTCCTCCTCTCTCCGCCCCTTCAATTTGGGCATCGCCGTTCGCATCCACGAGGACCGTGCTCCCTGGAACCCCGCGCCGATCTTCCCGCAGAGAGGACCGGGTGCCGGTTCGGGTGCGATGAGAAGTGAATGGGCGCGGCTTGTGCTCAGGGGCTTCCGATTTCTTGATTTGCTCAAGAAGGGGTCCCCAGAAGTCCCGATCCCTCTTCCCAAGGCTGGCTTTTCATCCAAAGCTGTTCCTTGGTGGTCTGGGTGACCTGCGAGGGCCCCCGAAGCCGAGAACGGCCCAAAACGTTCTGTCGTCAATTTTGCAACGACGCGAGCGTGTGTGGGATTACAATCTGGCTGCTGAAATTCAGGAACGCCACATAAGGAGCGAAGCTCCTGTTGGTCCCAAAAGCGCCTGCGTGGCCGAGGAGGGCCAGAGGAACAGCCATCGAAGAACCAAAGGAACCTCGAGCCCCTTCCGAACCCGCACTGTTCCTTGTTCCAGCGTCTCGACTGTATACTCCAGATCTCGTAATAAAAGGGAGGGGGTCTGGATCCTCCAAGACAAGCCATTTCAGACCCCCCCCGTGGGAGAACCCTCCAAAACATCGTCCACAGACCCCCCCAGGCCCTCCAAGATGGCCTGGAAGAGATCCCCCCCCAAATGAGACCCCCCTCCCTTTATTACGAAACCTGGAGTAACACTCACCCGCACGCGCGCGCGAGAACGACAGCGGGGACAAACTCCCGGCGTCGGCACAGGCGCCAGGTGTGGCCAGAGCGGGGGACGCGAAGGCTTTTCTGGCCTCGCACCCGGCCGAAGTATAACACTCACCCGCACGCGCGCGCACGGAACGACCGCGGGGACAACCTCCCGGCGCCGGCACCGGCGCGCTTGGTGTGGGCAGAGGCGGGGGGCGCGAATGCCTCTCTGGCGCCTCGCACCCGGCCGAAGCTGGCGCGCCCCCTGTCGCAACGCCGACTCCGACATCCCCGGGAGAGGATGGAAATCGGCCCGTACCTCAGAGGAGAATGAGGGGGCCCCAGGACACACAAACAAATACACACAAAGAAAATGAGTCCCCATATTTCCTGTATTTTCGGTTTTTTTTTGTCTTCCCCCCCACTTCCCAGATTTTCCCATAGTTTCCCCTCCTGAGAGAATCATGGACCACCGCCACCGTCGGGGATGGACAGACCTCCCTTTAGCAAAACGTGGCTTCGCGAAAACGACCCGAGGCCCAAACCTGGCGGCGCGCAAGCCTGGAAAATCACGGCCGCGGCGCCCTCTCGAGAACCGAAAACGGACAATTCACTGATCGACGTGTCACTGCTGGGGGTTCTGTCCACCCCCGATCTGTCCACCCCCGCATCTGCGCCCTCGCGGTCTGGACCTCCGGGGCGCCCTCCCGCCGACCCGCGGTCGCACGGACGGGCTCCGCGCGGGGCCTCCGCGAGACGCACGCGCCCCGCGGCCCCGCGGGGGGCGCGCCGCCCAGTGGGGCCCAGACCCGACAAGCCGCGGGTACGGGCATGCTCGTCGCCCACGAGGGAGCCCTGAGAGGCAGCGGCGCTGGAGGACCCGCCGTCGCTCGGGGGTTCTGTCCCCCCCCGATCACCGAGAACCCCTGGCGGCGCGACCGACCCCGGGGCCCGTGACGGCGGACCGCCGTCTCGGCCTCTCGCTCGGCGCCACCCTCCAGTACGTCTTAAAGACCTGCTGCTTGCTCCTGCTCCGCCGACGGGTTCTCGGTGGTGGTGGTCCGCGCTCCTCCTCGGACCCCCTCGAGGAATGAAAGAATCATGACGGGAGGTTTTTCCAAATTTTCGGCCTCGGGGGGCCCTCACCGGGCCTCGGGAGTGTCAAAAAACGACTCAGGATGCCAAGCCGGTCATGGAGAAAGGGTCGGGACCTACGGGGGTCGACGTAATGAAAAAATCATTACGTCGGGGGTCTGGGGTCCGCGCTCCTCCTCGGAAGATCTCCGCCCCGCGGGCCGGCGATCCGCCGCCGTGCCTCCTGGCACGCGTCGAGGCGTGGAGGACTGCCGAGGGCTGCCTGGCGGGGCTCCTGCAGTCTCCTAGGCCACCCGCCCACCTCTCGCCTCGCGCCCACGCGCCGGGCACCATCCCCTGCGGCACGTCCGCGCCGTGACGGACGACCCTGGCGCTGGTTTCTGGCACCGCGTCCATCGTGACACCTTGAACGATCGGCGGCCTTCCGATCGCCCGAACGTTCCATGTGTCGGGCCGGGCGAAAGGGGGGGATAGCAAAGGGGGGGTTTGAGAATCAGCTCACGTAGCTGACTTTCCCGGCGCCTCCCGGCGCCGGAGGCGGCCATGTATCGAGGAATGGGCCCCTCGGTGGGGCCGAAACCAGCTGCATGCAGCAAATTTCGTACCCCCCCTTTCCCAATCCCCCCCTTTCGCCCGACCCGAATGTGGGCCGACTCCACGCCCCTGGCGGCGCTCAATCTGGAACGCCCGCGGCGGGGTCGCCGCCGGTCGACGCGAGGCGAGCCTGCCGTGCTCCTCGGGCTCCCCGGGCGGCCGTGGCGTCTCCCACGGGGGTGGGTCTGGTGCGGTGGCGGGACCTGCCGCCGGCAGCTGCATAGAGTGCCCGCAGGTCCCTGCGGACTCTCTGCTCTCTCGGGGGCCCAGGCGCCAGATTCCTGGAGATCCTGGGCGCTCCCGGGCGCGCTCGGGGATCGCCTCGCGGCGTGTTGAGCGGCCTTGGGAGGGTGAGGATCTTCCAAGACGGTTCAAGAGGCCCCCAAGATCGCCCCAAACGGCCCCCGAGGCTCCCAAGACGGGCCCCAGGACGGCCCCAAGAGGCGCTCCCGAGAGGGAACCCGGACCGACCTTTCGAGCCCTTCTCCCCAAGATGGCCCTCGAGACCACCAGCAGGCTCCCAGGAGGCCACAAGGCCACACACAGTAAGCCCCAATCCCGCTGACCACCCGCAAAAATTGTGTCAATCTGCCTTTCCGCGCAAGATGGCCTCAAGAGGACCTCCAAAGCCGCCCAAGATGCCTCCAAGAAGGCTCAGCAGGATACCTCCAATAAGACCCTAAGACAAGACGCCCTCAATACGGCCCAAGAGGTCCGCAACAGTTTGCCCTGTGCGTTTTTCCGTAATCTTTGCGTTCTTGCCCTCTCGAGCTTCAAATACCGAAGACGGGCCCAGGGGCTTCCAAGATAGCCCCAAGACGGCCCGACAAGTTCAATGTGGCCCCAAGGGCGCCTTCAAGACAGCCAATATGGCCCCAAGATGCCTCCAAGACGGTTCAAGGTGCCTCCAAGATAGCCCCAAGATGGCCCATTACAGTTGAGGCCAGTCCACAAGAAACCTTCCACAAGAACCCCAACCCTGAGATCCCAGGACGTCCATGTGTTTTTGGTGTGGGAACGTCGCGCTTCCCATAGCAAAACCATCGAAACCCAAGAAACACAGGGCACTCCAGAGGCAAGCAGGGTGTTTCCTGGCATGGGTCCCAACTGCACGGCTCAAGCGGCCGCCAAGAGACCCCCCAGGAGGACCCGAAGAGGCCAGCATCACTAATGTGCCTTCGGCTCTTCCCCGCCATTCCCGGACTTCCGGCAACCGAAGACGGCCCCGGGGGCCTCCAAGATAGCTCCTCGACGGCCCACACGAGGCCCCCAAAGGAGCCAAGACTGCGCAAGGGGCCTGCAGGACAGCCCCAAGACGGCCCAATAAACCTCCAAGACGACCCTGCAGCGCCGCGAGGCAGCCCAAGAAGCCCCCCAAGAGGCCCGCAAAGGTCTCCAAGAGGCTCACCAGAGGCCCCAGCATGCGCCCAAGAGGCCCCTCAGAGGCCCTCCAGAGGCGCCTAAAAGGCCCCCAGGAAACCCCCGGTAGGCCCCGAGAGCCTCCCTGAGAGGCCTCCTCCTCCTCCTCCTCTTCATTTTCCTCCCTCCCTTCCGTGCCCTCCTCCTCCTCCTCCTTCTCCTCCTCCTCCACCTCCTCCTCCTCCTCCTCCTCCTCCTCCTCCACCCCCAAGGGTTTCCACAACGCTGTGGGAACACATGCTCAAATATCTTGGCCAGACTTTGGCCCAAGGTTTGGCCACGTAGGCGTTTCCCAAAAGGCAGGAGACGGCGGTTATTCGCCGCAGGCGACTTCGATAACACACACTTGCGAAAAAACCATAACAGGGACAAACTCATACAAACTCTCAACGTCGGCGGCGGCATCAGGAGGGTGGGGACCAGGGAACGCGAGGGTGTCAGATCCTGTATGTGTCCGAAACCAGCGCGCTCCCTGCCAAATCACCGACTTACCAAAGTCTAGGATATCCTGGAACATTCTCAATGTCAACGCCCATGAATCTGTTACATATGCGCACTCACACACGTTGTGTGTTTGTGCATGTGCAGATTCTGGGGCACCCGCGAGAAATCAGAGGCTCCCGCTGGGTATGTCTCGTTCTCTGTGCCCGTCCCTCTCCTTGTCTTTCGCACCATAAGGATACAAGTGGCTGCCACTCAGCTCCAAAGCAATTAAGACAGCTCAAGTTTCCCCCATCGGCTGTGGCATCTTGGCCTCAAACCAAGCAGACGAGACAGCAACCCAAACAACGCTCTTAACAACAAGAGGTAGCGGACTTCGGAAGCTCCATCGGACGGATGCTGGTTGTCAGGGGCAAGCGGTAGATATGAGAGATGCCGAAGAACACAAACTTATGGAAAACAACGCAATGCTGAAAATAATGACGCAACCGCGAGTTGAGACGAGGGGGACTCCTCCTGTCTTCTTCCGTGCAGTCGACCTTGAAGGAGGACAGGAACGAGTTGCTGACCTTGACACGCTCGTCTCCCTCTTCCCCTCTCTCACTCAAATCCGCCGTCCTCCGCCCCTCCCTCAGAACCAAAGCTTGGATGTGTTTCAAAGTATGTGGTATCCCAGATATCGAGGCGGATCCAGCCGCGACGTACATACATTGCTCGCTGGTGGAACACACCCGAGGCGGAGCCTCTCCGCACCACCCGGGGATCAGGACTGAAGCCCGCCTGCTGTGGGACGGACGACCCTAGGATCCGAAAAACGGCGTGAACATAGCGTTTGGGAGGGATGCGCGGACTTCTTGGATCGGCGCTGGATCCCACTCTCTGGCGCGCGGGGTGCGCGGTCGGGGCTCAGCCAGACCTCCAAGACATCTGCGCGGACCTACGAGAAATCAGATTGACGCAGTTTGTTGTTCGACAAGCTCCGACAGGCGCACGAAGGGCGCTTGCCTTCGCCCTCGCACGCCACCGCCCCGTGAACCACCCTGACCTTCCAGGGGGGCTGACGCACAGCTCCGGACGATGACATCGGAATCTCAGTAGAGGTTTCCAGTAGCCCAGATCGGCCTACAGCCTACAGATCTGGAGTGCTATTGCAGTCGACCCGTGTCACAGCGATGCGCGGTAAGGGTGCAAGGTTCTGGGAGGGCCGTGCCGACCCTTTTCCGAGCGGGGCGCGGCCAGCGAAAGCGGCCAAGGACGGGCCGAAGGGGAAGGATGCCAACGAGCAGAAGAGGAAGGACGGGCCGAAGGGGAAGGACGGGCCGAAGGGGAAGATCGGGCCAGCGCAAGCGGCCAAGGACGGGCAACGATGGAAAGTCACTCATCCTTACTGTGCAGGTTGACCGCAAAGTCGTGCGAGCGCGTGCCGCGCACGCCTCTGCGAGCGCGTGCCGCACACGCCCACCGTGGGCCGTGACAGTGGCGCGCTCGGCCCTCGCGCCCTCGTGAAAGCCCCCCGCCCCCCACGGCGACGCGGGTTGCTTGGTGTTCATGATCATGATGGTCATGATGATGATGGTCATGATGATGATGTTGATGATGATGGTGCTAACGGTGATGATGCTACTGATGATGGTGCTGATGACGGTGCTGATGCTTGTGATGGTGATGGCGATGACCATGACGACCATGATGACGATGATGATGATGATGATGATGCAGATGCAGATGCTGATGAATATGGTGATGATGATGACGATGATGGTGATGATGCTGCTGCTGATTTTTCCTCGACGTCAGGACCAATATCTGATATCAAAAAATGGTATACACTGAAGCCAGACTTGAGAGATCCGTCGCAGAGAGCCGACTGTCTCGCGTTGCCCCGCTGGGGCCAGACTGCCAGGGTGCTGCTCGGGGGGGCCTCCTGCGCAGCGCGTGCCTAGCAGCGTCGAAATGCTAGCTGAATAATACTGGCCGCTTCGTCTTCGGCAATTGAACTCAGGTGGGGTGGGGCCTCCACCTCACGCAGCCCCTCTGCATGTGCTGGCACGGCAGGGGGGGGGGGGGGGGGGTGGAGGCGCGACGGAGGAGGGCGGGATGTGACCGTGACCGTGCTGCTACTGGCAGGGAGGCTTTAGCTTCGAACAAACATTGGCACGGCGTGGACTCGCCTCCTCTGCGCTGTGGCCTGCGCTGTGGCGCGCAGGCTCGCTCTGGCAGAAAGACAGGCTCCGCTGCTCAAGCGTCTCTAGCCAGTGGCCTACCTCCTCCTCGGGCCAGCCCACTGGGGCGCGCGCCGATCACCAGCTTCTGCTTGGTGTCGTCGTAGCGGTGCCCGAGCCCTTCGAGCCCCGGGAGGGGTCCAGCGGGGGTCGCCACGGCGCTCTCCGCTTGGGCGTCGCCCCCCTGTCCAGGGAGAGTAGGCGCAGAGGAAACATTAGCCACTCGGATCGCCCGCGTGGGCGCTACATCTACTGCTGCTGGGCGCTGTGCTGCTTGTAGCCGTCGAAGTGGTCGATGTCTAGGTCTGCTGCGTAGGCCGCTGCCCGCGATGTGTTCAACCGACTGGCAGTTGGACGCGCTTGCATCAGGGGTGTCCTCGATGGCGGGCGAGGGGCGGCATCTGGATGGCGCAGGGCGCGGCGGGGGGCTCACTTGGAGTGGCCGAGCGCGTGGTAACCCGTTTCTGGCACGACCCGATGTTGCGCTCGAAGGTGGGGTTTGTCTCGTCGTCGGTGTCCGCCCCGTCGCGCGTTGCCGCCGAGAGGAGGGAAGGGGTGCTCGCGCTGGCCTCGGGGGAAGCCCACTGATCCATCTTGACAACTCGGAGGGCCTCCTTTTGTTTGCTAATCTCGGCGTAGGCGTCGTTGAGAGAAGACGCGCGGTGGGCGCCCGTCTGGAGCCCAGCAGCAAGTAGGCCATAGTCCCAGCGGATGTTGTTGTTCGTGATGTTGGCGCCGCTGACAGGCATCTTGATCTGCATAATCGTGGGGATGTGGTCGGCAACATGTAGTAGGCTACTTAGCTTGGTGTGGATCTTCCAATTCAGCTTCACGTGCTTCACGATTTCCCTGAAGTTGTCGTGGCCGTTGAAGTAGTTGATGCTTGATCTGGCTTTGCTGTGCCCGTAGTAGGTATTGCCGACGTCGATGTGCATGTTGATGGTTGTCAGCTGGTGCGTCAAGAACTTGTCGTGCATCAAGCGTCCGAGCTCGATCCCGTCGCTGGGTTGGTAGCTGCCGATTGCGTTGTCGGTGCGGCGCTGTCGTGATCGTCGCCCTGGCCCTTGGTTGAGGTCCGTGAACAGGATGGGCATGACGCGAATAGGGATGTCGGTATGTGCCTGCGGTACCCAGCTCCATGGTCGGCGGCATCCTGCTTTCCAGTGTTGGTAATGACCTGCTCCGTCGATATCAATCTTGCGGCTTTGGCGCTTGGATACTGCGATGCTGCGACTTACTGAGCTGCTCGTGTGTGCCCCGCGACCCCATCCGAAATGGACCCATGTATGATAGCGGCGGTCCTCGAAATGATGCGGGGCGTCGGTAGTGCACTGGCGGATCTTAATGCCTGCGTACATCATAGTCTGATTTGCACGGCATGTGTCGGAGATGTGGTCGAGCTGCCCTGGGACATCCAGTAATCCTTCGCGAGCTGGGTGTGGATGTAGTGGCCCAGGTGGCAAGTCACGTTCGGTGTGCAATTGTTCCACTGGTAGTAATTCAGGGGCCGCGTGGTGTGATCCTGCATGTGCTGGCCCTCTGTGTTCTGCCTCGATGTCCTCGGTCTCCGCTCGGTGCAGGCGGTTCCGAATAGCACCCTCCATGGAGCCGCCCACGTCACACTTGTACAGTCCTTCCAAGATCGCCAGCGCGAAGGGCGGCGCTGGCGACCCTATCTCCTGCAGGCGTGTCTTGTCCTCTGGGGTGTCGCTCTTCCTGAGGGGGGAGTCCAGGGTGTACTTGTAGCCTTCGATCTCCTGCGTGATGGCTATGATCCCTGGGAGCTCTTTCCTCATCGTGTAGGTGTCCGTATTGTTGCTGCCATTCAGCCTGGTCTTGTGCGTCGTCTGAAGCAGCATGTGGCAAGTCACGTTCAGCGTGCAATCGTTCCACGGGTGGCAATTCAGGGTCCGCGTGGTGTAGTTCTGCATGTGTTGGCCCTCTGTGTTCGTGAGGATGTTGAAATTGAAGCTCAGCGTCCAGTAGTTCGGGGTCAGCGTGTCGTAGTCCTGCCTGTGCTGGCCCTCTGTGTTCGTGAAGATGTTGAACTTGAAGCTCAGCGTCCAGTCCTGCACGTACTGGCCCTCTGTGTTCGTGAGGATGTTGAATTTGAAATTCAGCGTCCAGTCGTTCAGGGTCAGCGTGTTGTAATCCTGCATGTGCTGGCCCTCTATGTTCGTGATGATGTTGGAACTGATTTTCAGTGTCCAGTAGTCCTTCGCAATCTGGGTGGGGTAGTCCATGTGGCCAGCCACGTTCAGCGTGCAATTGTTCCACCTGTGGCAATTCATGGGCCGCGTGGTGTGCCTGTGCTGGCCCTCTGTGTTCGCGATGATGTTGAAGTTGAAGCTCAGCGTCCAGTAGTTCAGGGTCAGCGTAGCGAGTCCTGTGCTCAGCAGGTGCGCGGCGCCCGCGCTCCGGAGCACGGCCATGGCGGCCTGGCGGTGTGCGGGGTGTCGTCAAGCGGCCCCCTGCCTTTTGGGCATGGCAAGGGGGCGGTGACTGGAGGCCGCTGCTCCATCAATGGCCTGAGCGCGCGGCGGCCTTATGCTGCTGCTGATGATGATGATGACAACGACGATGGTGATGATGGATTTTGGTGTTGTGTTGCTGCGCTTGTTGCGGCGCAACCTGACAGAAAGGCGGCCGACACTGCATCACCATCATCAGCATCATCAGCAACGCCACTATCAGCAACACCAGCATGATCGCCATCATCATCATCATCATCATCATCATCAACATCATCATCACTATCATCATCATCATCATCATCATCATCATCATCATCATCATCATCACCATCATCATCATCCAAAGCGTCAATTCAACCTCCTACTGTCCACGCGTTTGCCCCCTTTCGCTCTTCCTCCCCCTTCCTTTACCCTCCGAGCGGCGTGACGGTGCCCGCCCGGTCGGGGCGCCGCGGCCGGCCGGGCCGCCCGGCACGGCCCTCATAACCCGCGGGCGGCACCGAGCGTCTGCTGCGCGGGCACCGGGGAAAACAAAAGGTACGGATACCGCTACTCCTAGGTCGGGCATGTTCTCCTACAAGCGGATCGAGTCAAAAACAGCAGCAGCAACAGTTAATAAAGCATGATCGCTAGAGCGCCAACAGCCGTCACCAGACACTGGACTGTGTTGGGAGATTTCCGTGTGAAGGGAGAAGCCCGACTTAACGCTACTCCCCAGACCTCTCCCAGGGTGCACTCTGGCCAGAATCTCGAGGCGAATCCACCGCTGGCCACGAGGCCCTCCCAGGAGACCCGCAAAAACAGGAAAAAGCGAGGGAGGAGGGCAGCGGTGTGATGGGTGCGCGTTCCGCCTCGGAGGCGCTCCCCCTGCGGCCGACCCAAACAAACCCTCGACGTCGTGACTTTTGCGCAGCGTCGACCCCCAAAAGTCTGGGCCCCCGAGGGGTCCCGCGACGTTCGTGGGTTCCTGGGAAGCCCCGCGCAGCGGGGGGAGACGGGAATCCAGTTCAGACCTCGCGGCTCCCTGGGGGCGCTGCGAAATGCACAACCGTCACCACTTTCGAGTGTTCTTGGGAGGTCCCGCGAAGTGGGGGGATACGGTGATCCGGTTGGGGCCTCGCCCGGTCCCTGGGGCGCTGCGAAGCTCGCAACTGTCGCAACGTTCGGGCTTCACCAGGACCGGTTTCTCATCCCGACTCACTGTCTTCTTGACGGTCCCGAGGCCCAGTAAGGGCCCCCGGAAGCAGAACACAGCGGAGGAGTAGGAGGAGGAGGAGGAGGAGGCGGAGTAGGAGAAGGAGGAGGAGGAGGAGGAGGAGGAGGAGGAGGAGGAGGGGGGGGAGGAGGAGGAGGAGGAGGAGAGGGGGGGGAGGAGGAGAGGGATTGGGAGGAGGAGAAGGAGGGGGAGGAGAAGGAGGAGGAGGAGGAGGAGGAGGAGGAGGAGGAGGAGGAGGAGGAGGAGAGGGAAGGGGTCTGGGGAGGTCATGGAAGTCCCTGCTGCTCCTCCTCCGCCTCTCCCGCGACCCCGCCAGGGCGCGGGTGGGCCGGCACTCGCCTCGCCCCCGCCCTCCGAGCCCGGGGCCGCCACCAGGGCGTCCTCGGGCCAGGGCATGAACCAGTTGATGTTCACGGAGAACACTGGCATCGGCGGCGGCAGCGACGACAGCGCTGCCGACGACGACGAAGACGACGACGACGACGACGACGACGACGACGACGACGGCGCCTAAGACGAAATCAGGACGACGAGGATGGTATCGGGTGAGGAGAGCGGGAATCTCTGAGATCCAGCGGCTCTGGAGGATGTCTCGGGCGCCGCGGCCCGGGAAGGAATGAGGTGCGGCATATTAGGACAGGACTTGTGATTTTTCGGGGGAGGTAGACCAGACGGCGACCACCGATCTCCACACAACTCCGCATCAACCGCTGTGCAAACCAAAACGTCGCTAGGCAAACTGGGAACGCCACCCAAGCCGACCTGCAATAGGCAACCCCATGCAGTGAACCATGGCCTGAAAGAGAGAGTGAGATAGAGAGAGAGAGAGAGAGCGACAGCGGGAGAGGAGTATTGAGGACCGGACTGGACTATGACCAGGGCTCCAAGGTCTCACTGGGGCTGAACGTACGTCGAGCGCCGTATCTACACCCTGAACCTGCGTGTCAGGCGCATTAGAATCGCCTGTCGCTGCTGATGCGGGTCGCTCGGGTGCGCGCGCGGACGCGAGGAATACGAGGCGGAGAGAGGGGAGCGGAGAGAGGGGATGAGGTTTGGGCGTAAGCCTCCTCCACCTCGTCCTCCTCCTCCTCCTCCTCCTCCTCCTCTTCCTCCTCCTCCGCCTCTCCCTGTTCATCTATCGTTTCCTCTCCTTCCACGGAGCGAGCGCCAGACCCGACGAATGTCAGGCGAGAGAGAACTGGTGGAGGTCGAAGCGTTGAGCGGATCAGACAATAGACGCGTCGGGCGAGGTTAATCTCGCTGGGCTGCAAGCGACGCAAGGAGGTGGGCTGGGGATGCCCCTGAAGGACGCTCCACTATCAGATCGAAACAGGAGGCTCCAATTGGCGAAACTCCCTTGTGGGCCCTCCCAATTGAGATTCCTTCTCCTGGAGCCCCCACTTGGGATTCCGTCTCATGGGCCCCTCACATGAAACGCCTCCTCATGGGCCTCGCAAGTTTATTTTTTGATGTGCAAGCGAACTTGGATTCCTTCTCGTGGGGCCGTGGGGCACGCCAATTGAAATGCGATTGGGATGCGTACTCGTGGGGCCGCCACGAAGGACACACACCGCCTCGCGGGGACACGGCCGGACAAACGCTCGGTCCGCTCAATCTTGGGGGGTCTCTCGGGGCGGTTGTAGAGCCGTCTGGCAAGCCTGCTGGGCCGTGTTGGACCCACCTGGGCAGTCTTGCGAGCGAGTCTCCTGGAACCTCACTGGGCCTTCGTACACCGACATGGGGCCCGTCTGGGGTCCGCCTGAGGCCCCTCGGACCGTCTGGAGCCTCTGGGGGAGCATCAGCGAGTTCTGCGTCTTGGGGGTCTTGGGGCTGCCCTGGCCCGCGCTGCGAGCCTCTCGGGTCGTCGCCATCATGAGCCATGGGCCGTTTCGGAAACATGTTCAAAGTCTTGGGGGGCTGTCGGGCCGTCACGAGGCCAGCTCGGGCCGCCGTGGGAACCCTTCCGGCAAATTTCAATCACAGAATGACGTTTGCGCACAGCGTCGGCAGGCGTGCAGGTGTGGCGTGGCCCGCAGTGGGGGGGGGGGAGGGGGACGCAACGACGTCATGTTTACACCACCGAACTGCCGCTGCAGGTGCTAAATTGACGTTATGCAAATGTGGTGCGGGCCACTTCCTGCGTCGCAGTCTGGCCGTGGACTTCTGGTCAGGTGCCCTCCACCTGTGGTTCAGCTGCTTCACGTCCGCGCGAGACTCCCGCCAGCGCGCGCGCGTGCCCAGTCGCGCAGCGAGGCGCCATCCCAGTCGCGGAGCGAGGCGCAGCGAGGCGACCAGTGGAGGAGCGAGTTGGTTGCGTGATAATCGGCCCCTGCCCAGCAGAAACATGACTGCCCATGTTGGACAGAAACAACCAACTCTCTGTCGCTATATGGCTTGCTGGTGGGCCGTGTCTACATCGCAGAGCCAGGGGGGAGGGCTGGGAGAGGGACGTCACTCCTTGAGGACTACCTTTCCCCGTTTCGTGGCCGCCGTGGGCGCCGCGGCGACCTCCAAAACTTACTGGGAGGTTTGGTTCCGGGCCGGGCATCACGCAACGACGAGACCCCGCCGATGCCACGCAGCTGCGCCACCCCCAAGCGACAGGTCCGTCCGCGCGAGCAGTGCCCCGTCGGACAGCTGAGCGAGACCACCTACCAATCGCAGAGCGAGAGCTCCGCGGACGCGACGCGGGCGGCCGTTCGGAAGGCGGAGAAGGATGTTCCCCCTCTGGCCCAATCGAGACAAGTGTTAGGGGGTGCTGGGGTTCGGGTGGCACCACCGCGCACTTGAGCATCGCGCTCCCAACAGTGCGCACGATTTCCGGCAAGCCCCCCACCCCTCCACCTACACCTCCTCCTCCTCCTCTTCCTCCTCCTCAGATCCTCCTCCTCCTCCTGTCTCATGCCTCCTCCTCCCCCTCCCCTCCCCTCTCCCTCTCCCCTGGATTCCCAGGCCCGCCCTCCGCGTCCTGCAGGGAACTTCTGCGCCCGTATTGCAAACTTCTGGCTCACGGGCGAGAAGCAGAGGCAGACGTGCAGGTTGTCCCGGAGGCGGCCCATGAAGTAGCTGCCCGCCGCCGCGTTTCGCCGCGGTGCCCAAGCGGACTCTCCTGGAGGACAACTCCTCCTTGTCCTGGTGAAAGGCGCCCTCCAAAGAGGGCCACAAAAATGAAAGCGTCCTTTCCACAAATAGTGCCGCGAAGGCGCGCAATTTAACACCCCCAGATACCCCGCGGAGGCGGGGTAGGCGGCGGACGACCACGGCGGCGGCGACGAGGACGGCGGCGACGACGACGACGACGGCGGCGGCGGAGACGGCGATGGCGACGGCGGCGGCGGCGGCGACGGCGGCGGCGACGACGGCGGCGGCGACAACGACGGCAACGGCCGCCGCGCCCAGCAAAAAACACTTGTAAAAAACCTGGATAATTGCCCGGAAGACCGCCAGGACAAATAGCAGCCGTGAAATTGGTGCCAACATCATGGGTTTGTATGTTGCTTGTTTGTTAAGTGTTGGGCATTATTCTGGCGGGCGCCCAACATTATCCTGGATACTATTCCAGGCACGTTGTCCATTCATTTGTTCCAACCAATTGTCTGAACACTTGTCCGGTCAATGTTCTGGGCGTTTTTTTCTGGACAGTCTGCCGATTATTGTTCAGGGAATGTTTCCAGGCATGTTTCCGAACACTTGTCCTGGCATGTTTTGGGGTCACTTGCGTAGGTCGTTTGTTTGCATGGGCCACATCGACAATACAAACATCAACGTGTGTGTCTTTCCGTTGAACTCGTTGCTGAGATCTTTGTTTGCTGGTTGTTCCGACAACCTTCTGGCGCTCATCTTTGTTCAGCGAAGGGCTACGGCTCGCCCTCTGCGAGAACTGGCGCCGGGGCCGGAGCTTAAAATGGAGCTGGAGCAGGCGTCGACAAGGGGATGGGAGCCGGAATCGGGATAGTCACCAGAGGCAGGGCTGGGGTCGGAGCCAGAGCAGGCGGCGGAACGGGAAGGGAACCAAGTCAAGGGTCGGAGCTGGGAGCTGGCCGCTGGAGCTGGGAGCCGCAGCTGCTGGCCGTCGTGGTCGTCGTCGTATCCCTGCATGGCCGTCGTGGTCTTGCATTGCAGCGTCGTCAATACGGGGGCGGTAATCGGGGATGGACAGACCTCTCTTTAGTAAAATGTGGTTTAGTGAAAACGACCCGAGGCCCAAAACTGGCGGGCGCAAGCCTGGAAAAGAACGGCCGCGGCGCCCTCTCGAGAACCGAAGACGGACAATTCACTAATCGGCGTGTCACTGTTGGGGGTTCTGTCCCCCCCCGAGGTAAAGACGGGCGAAGACGTACTGGAAGTGGGGGCGAAGAGGGTTGGAAGAGTAAGACGTCCGAGAAGCCAGCGCTGCACACTAAACCAGCTTGAAATAGGAGACCACCACCGCTTTGAGATCAAGCGTCAATCTGCGATGATGGGGACGGGAAAGATAAAAGGCGAACAGTAAGACGAAGACGCTTGATGGGGAAACAGATAGCGTCGAAAAACATGAAGTGCAGCTGACGTTCACCGTGTCGCCCGGGCGTGTCGCGGCTGCACGCGTCGGTGGTTCACGTCACCCCCAGCTCGGGGTCGAACACTGCCACTGTCCGGGTGTGGTTGGTAGACTCGTCTCAGTCGTGCATCGTTTCTGGTGGCATCGTGCAAGAACTGACTACCTACCAAACCACCCCAACCCAACCCGAAGACCCGAATTTCGGGTTGGGGGGGGTACGGGCTCCATGTGTGTTTTCTCAACGTTCCCCGACCCCCCCCAACCGGAAATGGAGGGCAAATTGGGGCCTTCGGGTTGGGTTGGGGTGGTTTGGTGGGCGGTGAAGAACTGGTCCATGCCCACGTTGGCGGCCGCGCTGCGGTCAGCAGTCCTCAGGAACTGACGCCGCCGCAGATCGTCCACAACGCGGTACAGCACGTGGCCGGCCACCGCCTGCCGCTGTAGCTGTGCGTCCGACAGGACAGATGCGAGCATCCCCTAATTACGGCAAGTTCGTGTCGTGACGACCCCGGAGTTGGTTTTTGACACCGCGTGGATCGTTCAACCTTGAACGATCGGCGGCTTTTCGATCGCCCGATCGTTCTATATAGGCCGATTCTGGGCCACTGGCGGCGTTCAACCTTGAACGCCCGCGGCGGGGTCGCCGATGGTCGACACGACGCAAACCTACCGTACCTAATCTCACGGTTCTGTCCCAGCCCGTCCCAGCCGTCTCCTCGACCACGTCTGGCCCACGGGGCACCTCATGCAGTGGTCCACAGCGTCGTCCGCGGAGCACGAGCACCGCAGCACGCAGACCATGTGGCCCTCCTGGGAAAAGCACGCACGCACACATTCGACGATTTGTCGTCCGGCGGTTGGAGATGGTACTGGGGATGGCGGCCCGCATCCTGGGCGGGACATGCTGTCGGAGGAGCTGGAGCTGCCGGGCCACGCTCCGGGCCTCGCCGCTGGTCGGCTCTGGCAGGCGCCACCTGTCCCAGCGCGTCCAGAGCTGACTTTCCACGCAGCAGCCGTCGCGAGCTAGGAGGCGGTGGGTAATAGAAGAAGAACAACAGCATAAATATAAAGTTTTGCCGCTCCTCGCGAATTTCTTGGATCAGCGCTGGACTCAGGTCGGGCATGTCCCCCTACAGGCAGATTTTGGAAGATCAATCAAAAGTATTCAAAAACAAAAGAAGACAGTCAATAACAGAAAACAAAAAATCCCCCCTGGACTATTTTTTGTATTTTTGGATATTCCTCCTGTGGAGGGACATGCCCGACTTGACGCTGGCCCCCGCTCCCTGGCGCGCGGAGCGCGCCAAGGGCGGCGCCGGAAACGCCCCCGGGGGGGGGGGGGCCAGCGCGGATCCAAGAAATCCGCGCGGAGCGCCAAAAGTTTCTGTTAATAGCGTTTTTCCTCTCCGAGGTCAACCGAGTGTGAATGCCCTTCCTTTCTGCACTGCCCGTCCTTCTGCTGCGTGAGCGGGCCGGGCCGAGGGCGGCGCCACCGAGCGCGGCCGCCGCTGCGTGGCCGTGTGTGCGTGCCGCTCCCGGGCCCGTCGCCCGACCTCCGCCACGGCGCGCCGCCGTGGGGGGCGGTGTGTCGGCCGGGCCGCGCAGAGAGCACGGGCAGCTCTCATCGAACGATCGGCGCGGCTCCTCGCCGCGATCGTCGGCGGTGGACAAAGCTCCCTTCAGTAGACCTCCCCTTAGCGAAAACGGCCTGGGACCGAAACCGACGGACCTGGACCCGCAAAAATGACGGCCGCGACGCCCTCTCGCGAACCGAAAACGGCCAATTCCTTACTCGACGCGTCAGGGTAGGAGGTCTGCCCACCTCCGAGATCGAGCCTCCCAGCGGGCGGGCACACCGCAGGCGAAGCGCCCGAGGCACCCCGCCAGCGCAAAAGCAAGGCTCCCGAGAGTCGCCCGCGGCTGGGCGCTGGCCAGCACCCCGGAAGCCCCGGCCAGCACCCGGGGCGCGCACGAGGCGCCCACCAGTGCGAGGACAGGCAGAGGAAAGAGAACTGTGCACATACACCGACTCTGGCCAGGCCCATCCTGAGCCCAGGATCGGTGCATGCGCCCTCTTGCCTTTGCCAGGAAGGTATATGCACCGATCCTGGGTCAAGGATGGACGTTGTCAGGATCGGTGCATGTGCATAGTTCTCTTCGCCCGAACAACAGAAAAGAAAAAAAAAAAAAAAAAGCCAGCGCACGAGACGCCCAGAAGCGGCCACGGGAGCGCCGTGGGCGAAAGCCAGCCGGCGCACAGAGCGTCCACGAGGCGTCCAGAGGCGGGCGCGGTGCAAATTAAAGGAAAGCCAATCATCCACCTAGAGCACAAAGGCCCCTCTGGGTAAGCACTGTCGGAATACAACCTAAGACCTCGATCCTAAAGCCTCCCCTGGCTCTTCTCCCCAGCCCCCCTCTCCCACAGCGAGGCGATAGCAAGGCGGCGGAGACGCGCGATGGCGCAATCGGATACATGTTGAGCAGGGTCTCCTCCATGTGCGGGTTGTCCTCGGGGGGGTGGCGGCTCGCTCATTTTCTCTCTCTACCTATCTCTCTTTCTATCGTTTTGTTCCCCTCTCTCTCTATCGTTTTTTTTATATTGTTACTGTTATGTTTCTCTCTCTCTCTCTCTATCTCTGCGTGTGCTCTGAGCGTGTTCCGGATCGCTCTCGGGCGATTCTGGGTGACCCAAAACGGGGTCAAGCTGAAAGGGGGTGGTGCAATATATTTAGGGCAACTGTATTGCAAATGTATTGCGCCAGAGAATTGTATTGCATTGAATCCCACCAGCCCTTTGGGCGTGAGTGGTTTAGGGAGCTCTCTCTGTTCTCAACCCCCCTTCTTCCCCTTCGGGGAGGGGTTTACCCCTCCCCCTACCCCCTCCCCCTGGGCCTGGAGAGGGCGCCTCGCGGGTGGTCAGAGGGTTTTTTTTCGACTCCTGGGAGGGCTAAAAAACGACACCCCTCACGAGGATTCTGGCCACGACAGGGGGGACGGAGAAAAACCCTCTCCTCTTCTGTGAAGCCAAAATCATCGATTTTACTACGGTTTTGGCCCCATTTGGCCCTTCTTCCTTGAAGGGAAAGCTCTCCTCTTCCTTGAAGGGAAAATTATTGTTTTTACAAAGGTTTTGGCCCCATTTTGCCCTTCTGAAGGGGGCAGCACTAATTAAAGCTCCCCTCTTCTTTGATCGATTCCCTCCAAGATGGCCCCAAGAAGCGCCCAGGAGGCACCAAGAGGCCCCAAGATGGCCCCAAGAGGCCCCCAGGAGGCCCCCAAGAGGCCTCCAAGAGGCCCCCAAGATGCCCCCAAGAGGCCCCAAGAGGCCCCAAGAGGCTCCCCCGAGGCACCCAAGACGCTCCTGGAAGCCCCTGGGGCCGCCAAGAGGCCCCCAAGACGCCCCAAACGGTCTCCAAGAGGCTCCCAAGAGGCCCGAAGAGGCTCCCCCAAGGCACCCAAGACGCTCCTAGAAGCCACTGGGGCCGCCAAGAGGCCCCCAAGACGCCCCAAAAGGGGACGAGGTGCCCGAACGCCTCACGCCACGAGGAGCCCGAACGACTCACACCAGGACGAGGGGCCCGAACGACTCACACCACGAAGACTCACACCAGCCCGAACGACTCACACCAGGACGAGGCGCCCGAACGACTCACACCACGAGGAGCCCGAACGACTCACACCACGACGAGGGCCCCGAACGACTCACACCACGAGGAGCCCGAACGAGTCACACCAGGAGGAGGGGCCCGAACGACTCACACCAGGACGAGGGGCCCGAACAACTCACACCACGAGAAGCCCGAACGACTCACACCAGGACGAAGAGCCCGAACGACTCACACCACGAAGAGCCCGAACGACTCACACCAGGAAGAAGGGCCCGAACGACTCACACCAGGACGAGAAACCCCAAACGACTCAAACCACGAGGAGCGCTTTCTCTCCCTCCTCCTCCGCCTCGTCCTTCTCCCGCTCCCCCCACAAGGAGGATGTACAAGGAGGCGGGAGGAAGGAGGAACAGGGGAGATATGCGGGGCCAAGCGGACACACGCCTGAAAAACACGACTGTCGGCATGCTTCGCAAGAGTTGCTGTTGTGAGATGGGCTGGTGGGGATACGCGAAGCGTAAAGAATTGCAAGTAATGTGTTGCACGCGAAAATCAAGCAATACATTTGCGCCCCAGAATCTATCGCACGCCCCAAATGTATTGCAACCCCCAAATCTGTTGCACCAAATCTATTACACCACCCTTATCGCTGGACCCCTTTTTGGGAAACCCGAGCGGTGTAGCCCGAGCCTGGACTCAATGTGGGCCGACAGCGGCGCCCGCGCCAGAGATGCGCCAGCATGGGAATGCTTTCGACATGCACACCCCCCGACGTCGTGATTTCTTCACAACTTCGACCTCCAGAGGTCTGGACCAGTTCCCCGGGACCGGCTTTTCATCTCGAGTCGTTCTTTGACGGTCCGGGGGCCCGGCGAGGGCCCCCGTAGGCCGAAAATAGCGAAAAACCTCACGTTGCGATTTTGTTCACAATGCGAGGGGGTCTGGGGCTGGGGTGGAGGAGGTGGAGGAGGAGGAGGAGGAGGAGGAGGAGGAGGAGGAGGAGGAGGAGGAGGAGGAGGAGGAGGAGGAGGAGGAGGAGAGAGGGAGGCACCATGCCCCGGGAGTCTGGGGCTGGGGTGGAGCTTTTTGTTGGCAACGCTGGTGGGCGCGAGCGCCACTGCAGAGCACCCCGGCCGCGTCGGGCACTGGGCGCATCAGAGCGGGCTGAGGGGCAGGGAACGGCCGCGATGAGGTAAGTCACCACACGAGTCCCCAAACCGGATGGTGACACCAAATCGCCCGAGTCGGCCCAAGAAGGGCCCAATGATCTTTCTAAGCTTGAAACCCAGACCCCCGACGTCATGATTTTTTCATGACGCGGCCCCCAGAGGTCCAGACCCATTCCCCAGGACCGGCTTTTCATCCTGAGTCGTTTTTTGACGGTCCTGAGGGCCGGTAAGGGCCCCCAGAGGCCAAAAATAGCGAAAAACCTCTCGTCGTGATTTTTTCATGACTCGAGGGGGTCTGGGAACCCAGGCCCGCCTGCGGGCGATTGCCCCTGACCCAGGCGCCCTGGGGGACGGCGGAAACACTCCCGCCGAGCGGCCGCGGGGCCGGAGGGGGGCAAGGAGAGGCCCGGCCGAAGCGAACCAACGGGAGGTGTCGAGGGGGGAAGCAGGAGGAGGGCCGAGACGAGGGGAGGGAGCAGGCGAGGAAGAGAGGCCCCCCTCGGAGGGACGAGAAGGGCGGCACGGGGACCGGGCAGACTCCGAAGACATCCCCTGTCGAATACTCAAGTGTCCACCCCACCCTCATCATTATCAGCATGAGCATAAACATCGCAATCATCATCATCGTGATCATCATCATCATCATCAGCAGCAGCAGCATCAGCATCATCACCATCAGCATCATCAGCATCATCAGCATCATCGTCATCCTCATCAGCATCGTCATCACAATCACAATCATCACCAACACCATGATCATTATCATTACCACTACTATTACCATCATCATCATCATCATCATCGTCATCGTCATCGTCATCATCAGCATCATCATCATCATCATCATCAGCATCATCATCGCCATCAACACCACCATCATCAGCGTCATCACCATCACCATCACCATCACCATCACCATCGTCATCACCATCGTCATCATCAACATTATCGACATCAGCACCGTCAGCATAATCATCATCCGTATCAGCATCAGCATCACAATCGTCATCATCAGCAGCATCAGCATCATAATCATCATTACCAGCATCAGCATCAGCATCAACATCAGCAAGATCACCAGCATCATCATCATCAGCAGCAGCAGCATCATCATGATAGTCAGCATCATCAGCTCCACCTGCCACCCCTTGAGCACGCACTGGCCAAGCTTCGAAGGCTCGAGGGGCGGGGGGGGGCCTAGCATAGAACACGTGGCAGAATGACTTGGTGCACGAGGAGCACGCGGCGCACCTGGCACGCTTGGGCACCTGGGGCACCTGGTTCGCGTATCGCACCTGTCACGCGTGGCGCACCTGGCGTCTACAATCATCCCCAACGAAGGTCGATTCGATGACGACCTTTGCCGACGCTGCGTCCAAGGTGCTTCTGAGGTGGTGGGAGGGTGCGTGGGAGTGGGCGAGGCAGCTTGTGGCCTTCCCGTTCGGAGCGTGATCCCATGCACCTGCCCCCTGCCCTGGGTGTGGCTTCAATGCGGGCCTGCAACATGGCACGATCTGGCCCTTCCGACGGACTCAAACGCGCCTCTGAGGGGCTCCAAGACCTGGACGGCTCCAAGTGGCCGCGGGGCCCCCCAAGGATGCCCCAGAGGGCCAGACTCCTTCACAAACCTCTTGCGCTGAGGTCAACAACGGTGCGCACCTTCTCCTCGTGGGGGAGGAGGAGGAGGAGGAGGAGGAGGAGGAGGAGGTAAGGACTCTGGCCCAGGGCTCTCGTTTCGTCTGCGGGCCAGTGGCCCTGCACCAAAAGGGCGTCGGCCAACGGCGCCGGAACTGGACCATATAAAAATACCTGTGCGGAGGGAGGGGGGTCTCCAACCATGAGCCTCGGCACGCGTGCGCCAGGCATGCGCTTTCGCATGTTTCGGGCCTCGACGGGGCCGCAAGCGAGGGAGCCAATCTGCAGGTGGCGGATCCTTGCCACCTAGACAGAAAGACGAGCGCGGCGGGGGAGGGAGCCAACATGCCCCTGGCAAACGGTTTCTTATTCGGCGTTTTGGCATTGGGCCGAGGGGAGGGGGGCGGGTCTGATTCGGACCTCTGCTTAATGCGACTGTTTGCAAGAGTGCGTCCCATGGGGGAGGGACCCCACCTGCTCGGAACAGGCGCCAAAAACAACCAACATCTACTCCATGGGGGGGGAGGAGGGGTGCGAGGGCCTGCGCCGATCGGCAAAACCAGGACAAACAAAACGACCAATGAATTCGTGTGAATTCACGTGTCCATGGGGCCCCAGGGGAACACAACTCGGGGGTGGCGAAATATCTTCAAACGTAATCTTATGTGCTCGGAAGGGGGGCGGGGCCACGCGGAGGGGCGGACCTAACATGTCACAGGCGTCGCCGTGCAGGAGAGGGACGACCAGGAGGAGGAAGGCGGAGGTAGGCAGATGATGAAGAGAAGGGGGAAGAAGAAAGGAGGAAGAAGAAATGAGGAACGAGGAGGAAGGAGGAAGAGGAGGTGGAGGCGGAGGAGGAGGAGGAGGAGGAGGAGGAGGAGGAGAAGGAGGAGGAGGAGGAGGAGGAAGAGAGTAGCGAACACATCTAGCGACGCGTCGAGTCAGGATGGATGCCGGACGAGAGCAGCAGGAGAAGGTGAGAACGCACAACCACTGACAGACGGTAGAGGACACAGGCGGGACAACATAGCGTGCGGCACGGTACCCGAGCGCATCCTCACTCGGGCGTTGGCAGAACTGGGTTTAGTGGAACCTG